GCAAAAAAAAAAAAAAAAAAAAAAAAAAAAGGCAGGAAGAGGAATACAGGACCATCAGGGGCCTGGCACACCCAAGCCCTCCCCTGGTGGCCTTGGTGGCTTGAAACCAACACCAGCCTCTTTGGGGGATTCCAGCTGCACCCTTACCCTCTCTGTAATAAGGCTTTACAGATGGGATTCCCACGCCCATCAAATACAGCCTACACATGTCTCTGCTCTTTCTGCAGTGGATAACCCGAACAGAAAGCCAGACCCTTAGAGGCAAGAATCAAATGGGTCACTCATGTCCAAGGAAACCCAGGAACTTAACACATCAGTTCTAGATGTGCTCCCCTCTGCTCCGCTCTTCACGGAGGCCACAGGAAGCCCATGACTGCTTGGTGTACTTGATTTGCTGAATGGGCCTGTGTCTCCGGAGGGCGGGCTGCGGCACAAATAAGCTGAGCTCACCGGTCAGCTGGCTGCATTCTGAGCCACTCAGGACAGTGGCGGTGGTCTGGGGCGCGTAATCCCCCACCGGCAGAGGAACAAACACGCAAACACAACAGCTATCACTCACTGAGAAACTTGACACAGATGATCTCATGTAATCCTCAAACCCTTGGCACGCAAGGGTTCAAGAAAGAGGAGGTCCCACCTCTCAGGGTCAGACTAATGCCCCTCCCCATCCAGGCCCCCAGAGAGAGCCGGGTTAACAATGGAGCCTGCACTACCCCACACCTCCTGCAGGAGGCTCTCTGATGCACATTTTCCCAAGCTCAGCGGGAGAGTCTTCAATGGTTCTCAAAAACCATTTCCCCAACCAGGGTGCGTATCAATGAGTCTCAAATGCCAGTAGCATGCTTCTTTTCTAGAAAAGCAAAGATGCTGAAGAGCAAGCTACCATCCTTGCCCGGGCTCCTTGGAACCTGCTACTCGTGCCAGCACTTTTTTCGGTCAGATACGTAAATAAGAAGGGTGTTTTGTTTTGCTCTAACCTGAGCAAAAGACTAAAGTTAACAAATACAAATGTCTGGATACCTGACCAAAACCACAAGTAGACCAAAAGCCCTAAGCCCAATGCAGCTTATCCCAGAGCCTCACACATTTTAAGCACGAAATACGGGATCAGTAAACCTTCATCACAGTCAGTCAAGATGTGCCCAAAACTACCCTGCAGCTTCCTCCTTTACTGTCTCATATTCTTACGTTTCTGTTTAAACAAAATGAAACAAAACACAGGCCTTCCCTTCCAGACCACCAGCTGTTTGTTTTTTAACAGACAGAGGACTGGCTTCTCCGGAAAACAAAATGGGAAAACCGTCCTTCTTTCCAAGTCCTGGGCTGGGGCTGCTTCTGGTAATGCAGAGGGAAACATGAAATTGAGGGGAAGGCAGACTCTGAGTATAACTCAAAGTTGAATGAAAACTTGTTTATCAAAGTCATTTCTCTCCTTTGTGTAATTTTTAACCTTCTTAGCAAGAAAATGGGACTACCGTTTTCTGATTCATTGCCAAAGTAAAGCAAGGTAATTTTTCATACGACATTAAGCTGCAGAGGAGAGGGAAGAGGAGAATCCCGTTTTCAGAACGCCCAATGCATAAGGAGCTGGGCCAGACACACACAGATGTGGACTCCCTCGTAGGGATCTATTTGGGTGAGGGGCGAAACCATATCTTCCAGATGAGAAATCAAGGCTCAATGTCTTCATATGGGCTCCCCCATAAGCAGAGTCCATGCCGAGGACGTGAGTTTACAAGTTTATTTGGAAGGTGATCCCAAGAGGTCCAAGGGAGGGCACAGGGAAGGTGAGACCAAGAAGGGAGGAAGCCCATAAAAGGCATGAAAAGTTGCTACATACACGCGGGGCTCAGTTTTACCAGAACCCCTTGCTGAATCATGGTACACACCACAGAACTGTCCCCGCAGTGGGTAAGGAAGCTCGGAGCCCCCACCAGCGCCCATCGTTCCCCAGCTGAGGGCTGCCCTGAGGTTGCACCCGTGCAAGCCCAGCCAGGACCCGAATTCAGGTTGGACTCACCGGCCTGCGTGCCGGCCACCTCACCTCATGTGCCACCTCATGCCACCTTCCTTCTCCTTTCACCCACGCAAGGCCCCTGGGCACAGTCTCGATACTGTGCACAAATGAGGGATTCACTCCTTTTATCTTTTCTGCCCTGGCCCCTTATTTCCTTTTCCCCCAACCTTAAAGACACATAGACGTCCTGCTGAGATGCTCACTCATAGGCGCTTTCTTCCTTCACAAGCACCACTTCAAAAAGAAAACGAATTCTGTATTTGCAAAGTGGTGGGGAAGCCGCCCGTTGTGGCCATTCCGTTTTCCACAGAAGCACGTCACTAAGGAACAGTGAGGCAGGAAGAGAGCAGAACTGCAGGCAGAAGGGTGGCAGGGAGCTCCTGGGGAGGGCAGTTCAGTCCCACCAGACTGGGGGGGGCTCGCCAGGAAACCAGGGAGGGGTCGAGGGTCTCTCCTGGGTGCAGCAGGGCCCTGACGGGCGGGGGCGGGGAGGGGGGGCAGCCGTGCATGCACCTGTGGGACCAGCTGCAGGAAAGCACTGGCAGCTGACGAGCTAAGCCGTCTGTATCCACAGCAGCAGCTCTGCATAAGTTATAAAGGTTTCCACCATAAGGATGGCTCCCTGAGGTGAGTGATAGAATGGCTATCTTTTTTTATTTTTTAAGATTTTATTTACTTATTTGAAAGAAAGAGAGGGAGCATGAGAGAGACACAGAGACAGAGAGCATGCATGAGCAAGGAGGAGGGGAAAAGGGAGAAGGAGAAGCAGATTCCCTGCTCAGCAAGGAGCCCGATGCGGAACTGGATCCCAGGACCCTGAGATCAGGACCTGAGCTGAAGGCAGATGCTTAACCCACTGAGCCACCCAGGTGCCCCACAGAATGGCAATCTGACCCAGGGTCTCTTTGAATTATTTCTGTGCAAAACAAACAAATGAAAAGGGGTAAACGGGCTTAGCTCACCTGCTTCATCCTTACTATTAAAAAAAAAAAAAGGTAAATTTGCCACTTTGGCTGCTTTCTATAGAAATTCATTCCTGCGGTACCAAAAGTGTTATAGACTCTGCAGTAATCTCTTATTACGACAAAATACATAGAGATATAATGGGCAATGAATGTATCCCTCATGAATAATGAATCCAATGAATGGACACACGCATGTATTACGTGGAATGCTCAGGCCTGTACCAGAGCCCAGGGTGAGTGAGTGATGGCCCTAATATAACCAAGTAATTCATTAATTCCATCACGAGTTCTGCTTTACGATATCTGCTTTTATATGCCAATAGTCAATTTAATGGCATTTTAAATTGGAGTGAAGCCCCAAGAGAGGAAAGCACTATACACCTTATTGAACCACAAATCTAACATCTGATTTTTTAATTCCAAAAATGACCTAATAAACTCATTTTATAATGCAATCTGTCCGAACAACTCCTCTTTTTGTGTGTTTCATTCATTTCTAGTAAGCACGCAGAGATTTCAATTGGAAATCCATTATCGCCGCAATTAAGTATAAAAGTTCCTTTGCGTGGGGGCTGCCTAGATGGCTCAGCCCGCTGAGCATCCAACTCTTGGTTTCGGCTCAGGTCATGATCACAGGGTAGTGAGCTAGAGTCCTGCATCAGGCTCTGCGCTCAAGTGCAGAAGTCTGCTTGAGATTCTCTCCTTGCCCTCTGTCCCTCCCTCTGCTCGAGTTGGCTAAATTAATTAATTAATATCTAAATCTTAAAGAAAACTTTCCTCTGTGTCCACATAACATAAAGACCCTACGCTCTGTCTCGTGGGGGCTTGACCACCTTCTTCCAGGGATACAGAGGAAACCTACAGGTTTGCAGCAGTAGTGGGAGCCTCTGATTTACTTGCCAGCAGCATATGGACTATGCAATAATTAATAAGCTCAGAAATCCAGACATTCAGATTATTTTCTCATGTGGAAATTTTACCTCTAGAAAAATAAGTTGGCATACAACTTTTCCTTTTTCTTTTTTTTTTTTTTTTTTTTTTTGCTGTTGAAGATTTTACTTATTTATTTGTCAGGGAGAGAGGGAGAGAGCACAAGCAGGGGTAAGGGCAGAGGCAGAGGGAGAAGCAGGCTCCCCGCTGAGCAAGGAGCCCTATGCAGGACTCGATCCCAGGGCCCTGAGATCATGACCTGAGCTGAAGCCAGCCACCTTAACCAAAGGAGCCACCCAGGTGTCCCACAACTTTTCATTTTTAAGCCTTGCCAAAATTTTAAAATTTATGAACTACATGAAAAGCTTGCAGTTTATGGAAAAAGTAGCCACTTAACAAAAGAGGTAAAGAATTATGAGACTGAGGAGCGCCTTGGTGGGGCTGTTGGTTAAGCACCTGCCTTCGGCTCAGGTCATGATCACGGGGTCCTGGAATGGACTCTTGCATCGGGCACCCCCTGCTCTGCAGGGAGCCTGCCTCTCCCTCTGCCTGCCACTCCCTCTGCTTATGCTCTCTCTCTCTGTCAAGTAAATAACAAATAAATAGAGTCTTAAAAAAAAAATTATAAGACTGATGCGCTACCTATTGCGCCAACGAGGCACCTACGGAAGAGGTAAAGAACAAAACTGTACCCAATCTTCTAAGAACCCAAAAGGTTGCTGCAAAATGGTTTTTTTGCTTTAGATTCAACTGAATGAAAAATCAAACTTTGTCACTTACGTTGGCCTTCATCTACCTTCAATCACAAAGCAATTACAATACAAAATTATCCTGGATGAGTTTTGTGTTTTTTTTTTTGAAAGATTCTTTGATTTTAAAGAATATTCTCTTGGGCAGACATTTATTTTCTATTTCCGTGGAAGTGTTATAATTTTGATTACGTCTACTTGGTTGGCATCTGTGTTCTAATAAATGAGAAAGCATTCCTTGAACAGCGTAAATAATCTAAGTTTGCAAGCAAAATTACAGACTGAAACTATCAGCTGTCGACACCAGCAGTGAAGAAGGAAGAAAGAACACAGCCTTACCACTGGTTGTATTCTTTTTAAAGTTGTCCAGGAACTCCTCCAGGAGCTGGGACTGGTTCGGAGGGGGCAGCAGATGCTTCTGGTCCCTTGAGAACAGGTCACTGTCTGACCAGGACGAGCACAAGGTGCCTTTTGTCTCCGGCGGCCGGGCAATCAGAGTGAGCCCGACGCTCTGCTCGGAAAACAAGGCCTCCATCTGCTTCAGGTCAAGATCAGACACAGCTTCCCCATTTAAGGTCATGATTTCATTGCCCTTTCTCAACCCTGAGAACAAGGAAGAGGAAACAAAAGGAAGAGAAGGGAGATGACTGAGGGGAGTTATTTTAACGTGAAGGTGAAGGACGGGAGGAACTCAAACCACAGATTCACAGGGACCATCTCACGGCTGTCTTCGAAGAAAGGCCAAAACGCACGGAGTGGGAGGCCGCTGACAACACATGACAGGTCTCTCAAAGCCAGGATTAAAAGGGACAGTTTGGGGGTTTTGTATTTTGTTTTGTTTTAAGTAAGCTTTCTGCCTAACGTGGGGCTTAAACTCATGACAAGAGTCCTGTGCTCTATGGACTGAGCCAGCCCGGTGTCCCCAGAAGGAACAGTGAGTTCCTGTGAGTGCGTGGCTCAGAGACAGTTGAGGGTCCCCCTCTTGACTTCAGCTCAGGTCGCATCCCAGGGTCTTGAGCCAAGGGCCCCTCCCCCTGCTCGTGCATGTTCCCTCTAAAGTAAATCAATAAATCTTAAAAAAAGGGGGGGGGATACCATTTGACCCTCATTCAAATTCATTGTTCGTCTATTTACCTGATGTTAAATGCCATGAAAAACATTTACCCGTATCTGTCTGGCTTTCTGCTTCCTTTCCCTGTCTGTCTGCACACCGCCTGTGTGTATACATGCTCTCCTTCAAAACACCACCCCCCGCAAATTCTCTCTCTCCACATGTATATGTAGACATATATGCATATATAAAAATATATGCGCATGTGCATTTTCAATTAAACTATCAAGTGTACTTTTTTCTAACTCTAGGAGAAACCATTCCCTGACAAAACTGTAACAAGAGACTTTCCCCAGGCATCCCACGGTGTTGAACTGAAAGAGCACAGAGACTGTGCCGCACAGACCTTCTCCATATGCCAAGCCGTCAGGGAGAACGTCGCTTATCAGTATGCGGCTGAGATGCTGATGCTCGTCCACCTGCGCTGTCACGGCAAACCCTGCGAGTGGCAGTAAGACAAGAGAACAGGTCTAAATTCCGCACGCTGGTTAATCTCTCCAACTCCATCAGCAGCACCCCCTACCCCTCCCACCCCACCCCTCCCACCCCTACCCCCCCCTCCGCCGCCGAGCATCTTTTCTCCTAAGTATGCAGTGTCAGGGAAGTCACGTTACAGGCATTGAGAAAGCACAGCTCTCCGGCAGGGGCAGAGAAACAGGAACGTGTCAGATCTAAAGGATCAAGGAGGGCATGACCTTGTTGGAGAGCAGAGATGCTGCACCCACGTCTCCGGCAGCATTATCTACAGCAACCGAAAGGTGGAAGCAACCTGACCGTCTCTGGACAGATGGACGGATAAACACAAAGCAGTACGCTTTGTGTACACACAAGGGAACTCCTAAAAAGGAAAGATCCAACACGTGCTATCACACGGACAAACCCTGAGGACGTAATGCTCGGTGACAGAAGCCAGTCACAAAAGAACAAATACTGTATGATTCCACTTGTCTCAGAGACTGACAGCCGTCGAATCCATAGAGGCAGAAAGCAGAATGGTGGTTGGCGAGGGGTGGGAGGAGGAACTGGGAGTGACCATTTACAAGCTACAGAATTCCAGTTTTGCAACATGGAAATAGTTCTGAACATGGACCCTGTTCACGGCTGCACGGCAAAGGAATGTATTTAATGTCACTGAGCTGTCATTTTTAACCGTTCTTAATGGTTACCATGGTAAACTCTGTTACGGCTGTTCTACCACAATTTAAATTTTTTTTGAAATTTTTTTTAGAAGTTGAAACCAAAAAGTACTATACTACTGAGATAAATTAAATTGGGTTCGATACAAAGTAATTTGTTACAAAACAACTCTGTGTGGGGTTAGGCATTTTAAGTAGGCGGAAAACCACTTGGATGTCTACCGTAGCGCCCTAAAGATGACAACACGCAAAACCGAGGTGAGGCAGGGCTGCCCCTAAACGTCACCTGGGTGTGCCCTCCCCTCTGATTCCACAGTTGGGAGCACTTGTTCCCCTGCCTGGGTTCCGTAATAGTGGGAGTTCTTTGACAGTAAGAACAATGTGTCCCCCTCATCCTTTTGCTCTGTGCCTCAGGCAGACTGTGATCACCACAAAGCATCTTTGCAAGTATCTCCCTTCAGTCCTTCAGGCATTTCAATACAAAGAAGATTCCCAAAGACCCACCGAGGAAAGTAGAGTGAAGGTCAACAGAATACAGACAAAATGCTAAGAAGACTTCAGAGGGAAAACCAACATAACACTGGGTCAAAATAGACTAAATTAAGGGATCCTGGGTGGGTCAGTGGGTTAAGGCCTCTGCCTTCGCCTCAGGTCATTGTCCTGGAGTCCTGGGATCTGCTCAGCAGGGAGCCTGCTTTCTTCTTCCTCCTCTCTCTCTGCCTGCCTCTCTGCCTACTTATGATCTCTGTCAAATAAATAAATAAAATCTTAAAAAAAAAAAGACTAAATTAAAAAACAAAGAACTTGTCAATTATATCAATTTTTAAAAAAAGACACAAAGAACAAATCTCAAGAAAACTAACATATTACAATAACTGGAATTTGATCAGCTGGATTCATTTTAAAGGGAAAAAATTACATCAATGTATTCAACAAGATAATAGTCTTTTATGGGGCTATGTATTGATCATTGTCTAATTACTGAGTTCCCATAGTCAAAGACAGAATAAAATATTAAAATGAACTGTAGGACATAAGCTCAGTCCAAAAGGAGCTCAAAGCCAAGTTTAAAGACAAACAAATGGAAATGCAAAAATCAAGTATTGCAAAGTGATTTGGATAATATTGACCCTTAATTTTTAAACTGAAGGTAAAGCAATCAGATAAGCCCTCTTTAAGAAAGTTAGACCTTTAGTTAGTTCCTGGAGGCCAGGTGGATTTCCACAGAGAGGAGGGAACGCAGCAGGGGAAGCCTTGAACAGCGCCATTCCTGGTGGGTAAAAAGCTGAGAGCAAAGACACGGAGGAGAATCGGGACTTACTGAGCTCAGGAAAGTAAATTCATTGTATGACTCTCACAACCATACTTTCAAACTCACCAATTTTTATACTTATTCCTTTTATTTACTTTGGCATTTCCCCCTCATATTAATAAGTATCTTTTGAGCCTAATATAAATACATAGACATGGAGGAAAGGAGAGAAAGTTCAGAAACTACTGTCATGGTTGACACTGAACATGTAAATGTAAAGAAAAAAATATTAGGTCCAAAGATACTGGAGCAAACTAGACATGGACAGACAACGCGGCTCTCCGACTGGGCTCCGGTGCTCACCAAAGTCAGACACACTTCCGGTCTTCGTGAGCTGCACGTCGTAAACATTCAGCGGGAAGATTTCTATTTCGTCATAAACCTATAAAAGGAAAAACAACAAAATCAAAACATTTAATGTCATGATATCTTGGAAATTTTTTTAAAGATTTTTTTATTTTTTTGAGAGAAAAGTTATTTATGAGATAGAGAGAGAGAGAGAGGCAGGGAGAGAGCGTGCACGAGTTGGGAGGAGCAGATGGAGAGGGAGAGGCAGACGGCTTGCTGAGCGCTGAGCCAGACACGGGGCTCAATCCCAGGACCCTGAAATCATGACCTGAGCAGAAACCAAGAGTCAGACGCTTAACAGACTGAACCACCCAGGCACCCCTTTGGAAATTTATTTTAATGATATCCAAACCGGATGCCAAATTAACACAGAATTCCTCCCTCCCTTACAAATTATATACTTATTATTATCATTATTTTTTTAAGTAGGCTCCACACCCAGCATGGAGCTCAACGTGGGGCTTGAACCACAGCCCTGAGATCAAGACCGGAGCCAAGATCGAGTTGGACACTTAACCAACTGAGCCCCCCAGGCCCCCCCCCCGCCCCCGACAAATTACAGACTTAAAATCAAGAGGCCATGGATGTGGCTCAAATCACTTGCCTGTTCTTGCATGAATTCATACAGCGCAGGGACACAGTACTCCATGTTTTCATCCACTAATTTTCGGAGTTGCAGGCCATAGTGGCTGGGTTCCAGCTGCCTCATCTGTAAAGAAAAGATAGCTATTTAGATTTTCAACGTTCTTTCTAAATTCATCATTGTCCATTAAAAATCAAAGTGGAAATTTCTGAAGGAAATACTATATATGGTGAGTAGAGTTTAAACCCGTATCTGAGAGCTAAAATTTAAATGTGCAAAATAAAAATAAATAAATAAAAAGAAAGACGGGGGACAAATAATTATTTTTAATTAGGTTTTCTCTAAATGACGCTGCTTATCACTAAAAGCAAGAGATGTATTTTTAAGAACTTATGGGAGTATATTATCTGATAGACTAGATCTTACCATCTCCGCAAATACTGTCATTTTATACGCTGGTTTTACCTAAGTTGTCTCTCATTAATGAGGAAGAGAAATTGTGTGAAATGGGAACACTCTCCTATTCTACAGACTTCAGAATTAGGAATTTCCTACCCCAGAAATGTTTCAAAAGGAAAATGTCGACACACACACTCATTCATTCATAGTAAGTGGGTGTAACTGACACACTCCGATTTCTGGCATCCTCTATCACTTATAAGACTTATGAACCTCATAACTCGTGCTGTTGGTAGAAAACAATACTGTTGGTTGTCTGAATAAAAACATTACATAACGGAGTAAAAGGACATGAGATTCGTAAGAATGGAAGCTGCATGTATAAATGTCTGGTATCTTAAGGCTTAATTCAAAGTGGGAATATTAAAAGAAAAAAGTAAAGATTATTCATATCTATTAAGTATACATAGTAAAGAGTTACCAAGTCTACACGCCTCTTCTCACCATTCCAGGTGTTTGATGGCATTTTTCTCTGAAAACTTAAAAAGCGGTCAGCTCTACTGCGCCACCTGGTGGATGAAAAACCTCTGCTCTGACGTTCAGTCTATGACCTCAGCAAGCTCTCTTGAAGACTTAGCATAAACGTTCTTTTCAGAAACAAAACCCAGTTTGAATAAAGAGTAAAACACCACTAACAATCCCCGTGAAGCAACTGTGAATAGTATCATTACTCGTTTAATCTAGAGAAACCCGATAAAACTGCTCAGGAGTAAACCAAACTACTTCGAAGTTTCCACCACTTTGTTAACAGAGCCCTGTCTCTAAGGAACTTAAACAACAAGGCTTCAGAATTATTCTAGCTATAAAGGTCTACAAAGAATTTCAGTAAAACAGCTCAGGTTCTTTATGAAGGTGAGGGGCCATAATCTAACAACTCCATTTTCTAAAAGATGGAGAAGAATGCTAATTAAAGTAATACATAGGGGCGCCTGGGTGGCTCAGTGGGTTAAAGCCTCTGCCTTCAGCTCAGGTCATGATCCCAGGGTCCTGGGATCGAGCCCCGCATCGGGCTCTCTGCTCAGTGGGGAGCCTGCTTCCCTTCCTCTCTCTCTGCCTACTTGTATTCTGTCTGTCAAATAAATAAAATGTTTAAAAAAAATAAAAAATAAAGTAATATATATATATATATATGTCCATTAATAAGCATGTTGATTAATAGATGTTCATTTTTTCCCTAGTACAGAAAGTGAGGTCTTAAAAACCACACAGATTTACAAGGCACAGGGAGGCAACATTAATGATTCTTTCTACTGAGACCTATTTCCACAGCAAAATACATTACCTTGCATGCAAGAGTCAAAATATCTTCTACTCTATGTTCTGGCTTGATCATTACAGTAACCCCTTGATTATCCTGAAAATGAACGTAGGTCTGGACCTCCCATGTGTTGTCTCGGGGAACACCATCGGCTGCTGAACCGTATATATGCAGAAGCTCATCCACCTGTTTTCAGACACCACAAGAAAATACAGACAGATTTGATACACAAAGCACAGACACTGGGAAGAAAATGTCCCCTTGACTCATGGCGTATTTTATAGCAAGCCCTTCCGCATTCCTTGCATCTGGCTTCCCACAACGCTCAGGGGCAGACAACCTAGTGTCTCCTCATCCATTTAGCCCACACGAAACTGAAACCCTCCAGGGAGGCTGACAGGAAGGCAACGGAGTTCTGGTCCGGTGTTCTGGCCACGTGCCATTTGTGGCCTAGACCAAGTTTGAACCCCACACAGTGCTCGGTTTCGACTCTCCCTGCTCCAGAACTGCTGGTTGACAAGCGCCCTGTGAAATCTGCATTCCTGATCACCATGAACTTGAACATGGGCTCATTTACGGCCACTGATGCCCGTGGCATCCTAACCCGAACCGTGCTGCATCTGAGCAACGCGGTTCTCTTATTTCTACTTGGTTCATAAAATCAGTCTCTAATCCTAGGAACAGTTTTTTTTTTCCTTTCTGTCAGCTATTTCATATCTAGACACTCTTAAAAATCACCCCCAAACATACCACCTTTAAAAGGAAGCTTTTCCCAAAGATGTTTAATTCCCTGGACCCCACTATCATAGTAATTCAATGATCTCATCCTAGCATGAACTTCCATGATTTATAAATATAAATAGTTAATATGTATTAAGCAACTCAGAAATGTTATCCTCTGGTTAGACTCTTGCATTGGTCTGGTGGCAAAAGACAGACAGACCCAGGGATGGGTGCTCGAGTTACACACTCTGCTATTTAATCAGCAGGACAGGACATTCACTTTGCTGAGCCTTGTCTCCTACTCTGTAAAAGGAGATATTAGTAATATAATTACTTAAGTTTATTAGTTAATAGAGATTTTGCCAGCAAAAAAATACAGATGTAAAAATACCTTACACACTAGAAAATGGTACTTTCAATACTATCACATTATTCTATCCTACTTATCATAAAGTTATCATCAATGGATTTTACTTTAAATTCCATGCATTAAAGAAAGACCCCACAAAGCAAAAAATCCTCCTATGCTGTATTTAAAAACTAGAATAGAGGGGCACCTGAGTGGCTCAGTCAGTTAAGCATCTGCCTTGGGCTCAGGTCATGATTCTAGGGCCTGGGACCAAGACCCAGGTTGTGCTCCCTGCTCAGCTATCTCTAAACTCTTAAAAGAAAAAAAAAAAAAAAAAAAAGAACTAGAATATATATTGAAGATTTCAAAAGAACAGGCTCAGGAAAAGCAAGAGAAGAACCCGTTTTTCTGTGCTGTCTTTTTAAAAATGCGGTGCTCATCTTTAAAGGGATGTTTCTGGATCTGTCATGGGTCTGTCACTTTCTGCGCATTTTCCTGGAAGATGATCATAGCCCAGAATGAATATCAACCTCATGTGCCAAACCAAAAGAAAGAAAAGGAATGGACACCTGGAGCGGAGAAGCAGGGAGCCAGCATGAACCCACTCTCTCCCGAAGGACCCTATCTCATACAGATCACTCTTCTCTGATTCAACCTCCAGGTACTTTTCCTCTGGGGAATTATTTCAACCAGGTGCATCAGCAAACAAGCAGGTACTGCCATAGAAGTACAGAGTCCACCCCCCCCCCCCCCCCACACACACCGCTGTCCCCAACCAGGCTTGCTCAGCATCGAACTAAAACCCCAGCAGAGGTCACTGTGGAGAAAGAAACCACATAGGAAGCCGGCCGAGAAGTCAACGAGTGGGTTACTCCTGCAAAGCAATTTAATCACGCACTTTCAGAGCAGACCAGGAAAAACGTGACTGAAGATGGAAGGTGAGAGAAGGACAGGAGAAACACAAGCTCACAACTATCTTTCCCTTTCCTCCTGCTCCCATCCTTTACTCTCCATCATAGAGAGATAGACTTACATGGGGCCAGATGGAAGAGCTCCCCACCCCCCGCCCGCCCCAGGTAGGCTCCACACCCATTCTAGGGCTTGAACTCGCCACCCTGAGATGAAGAGAGGAACACCCTCCTGGCAGCCAGCCGGGCTGTCAGGTGCCCCTGGATGGAATAAGCTTTCCGCAGGTTGTCAGTTCACTGACTACTAACAACTCGTTATGCATTGTCCTTACCCCATAGGTAATAAGTGAGAAAAATGGGGCTCAGAAAACTCTAGAAATTTGCCCAAGCACACAGAGTGAGCCGTGATGGTGGTACTATGGGAATTTGAGCCCTAAAAACCTGGCTTCGGCCTATGCTCACCACCACTGCACTACAGAAATATCAACCGGCCAGTTACCTCCCCACAAAATGGATACAACCTGACTTTCTCGAATCTTTTCTGTTACTCTACAGCACACACCAAGTGCCAGTGGAACAAAATGGCTCACCTGACATCCCCCAGAAAGCAGCAGCTCTCTCATTTCAATTTCCCTTGCCTGCTCTACCTTCCTCACAGCTCCAATGCTAAAACCATATGCATCCTTCAACCTTAATTCCATTGCTACCCTCTCCCTCTCTAATGAAGTCTCTCCTGCTCTGTTCCCTCTTACCCCAAATTCGCTCAGTTGCATGAGGCTACTGTCCTCTACCCCTGATGTAGGACTTGACGAAGTCCAGCTTACGGGACAGTTTTTAGGTGCTCTCACACACACACACACCCCTGCTCCCTCCCTGGGGCTAAGACAAAGGACAGCAGAAGCTCTTTTCTGGCTCCGAGTCTTCTTCGGACCTTGATACAATGCATTTTGCACCCGGAACATATCAGCCCAGGGGCGTGGAATTGGATGCAACCAAAAATTCAGTCATACACACGCCTGAAAGGTAAAAGCTGCCCTATCCATACAGTGACAAATTCTTAACCTTCCCTAAGTTTTAAGAAGAGAAATTAATAGATTCTTGAAGGAGTAAGAAGTTCTAGACAAGAGAAAAGGATACAGACAAATGCCAAAGGACAGAATATCCATATTCTACTCAATATAACAAGGCTTTGGCTGCTCTGTGGAATCATTTCCTGAGCCTACACTGTTGACGCAAGATCGAGGATGGGAGAGAAGACGCCTATCAAAGTCAAGGCTGTGGAAGACTCAGAGCCTCTCCAGAGATCCTGCAGTGAAAATGTACACGGAAGCTTTTCCTGTGCCTTAACACATCATCTCAATCGTCCGCAATTAAAGAAAGGGAAAACCAGGTTATTCTAAGGAGACATCAAGAATTTGGAAAGGACTAATTAATTAGAACAAGAAAAAGAGAAGGCTGTACGTTTATAGATCGCCTAGGTGGTTGTAAGCTTTGCCCACTTGGCACAAAAACTAGGCTGATCCCCTCAAGGGTCAATGCTGTCCCTGCTGAGAATACACATGTGCGGCTTTATTCTCAATGAGCCAGATTTAAAAGCCATTCTTTTCCATCGGAGGAAAAGAGAAACTTGAAAACAAGCAAACAAACTAAGCCATCTGGAAAGCTTTTTCCAGCCCGCCCTTTTCTGAGGTGTTTCCTTCATCTTTTTACCCCTTACCCAGGAGCCAGCGGCTAGCCACACTCCCAAGGCTATGCAAACCCAACCTGCCTCCCACTCCACCTCTCCCCAAACCCCCCTCCCCCTCCCGCTAAAAACTCATTTCCAGGGGCACCTGGGTGGCTCAGTCTGTTAAACATCTGCCTTCGGCTTGGGTCATGATCTTAGGGTCCTGAGATGGAGCCTCAAGTGGGGCTCCCTGCTTAGTGGGGAGCCTGCTTCTCCCTCTTCCTCTACCCCTCCCCCACTGGTGTGCTTGCTTGTTCACTTCCTCTCTCAAACAAATAAAATCTTTTTAAAAAATTGATAAAAGAACAAACAAATCAAAAAAACAAAACAAAACAAAAAAACCTGGTTTCCAATTAGCCTGCTCAAGGTTCCCAGTTTTTGGAGAAAACACAGATAACAGCAAAAACATAACAGATCATCTGGTCAAATCCCAGTCTCGCCAGGGTTGGTTATCTGATGTCTCTGGGCTTCCGTTCCTTCACCTTTAAAGGGGGCTCAACCCCACAGCTCCACAGGGCGGTTAGGAGCCCTGACTGGGAGGAATGGCATCCGAAGGCATTACCCTATAAGGGGCCCTGACAATGTCAAAGAACTCGGTGAAGTTCAGCCTGGACTGCAGAATTAAGCCCCGAAATTCAACAACAGCCAGTATAAAGAGCTGTGGGAGAATGGTCCTTGTCTCAAAACCCTGAGGAGCTACGGGTGCTGGGGTCACCGCGTGGTCGGCCGTGACTGGCCATCCGCACGAACCAGGGGCCTGGCACCCACACCTGGCCCAGGCGTGCCCTCCTCGTGGGCCACTTTTACAGAGGCATCAATGATCACACTATTCCATCAATGGTCGTGTCACTCACGCTCAGTGTGCCTGAAGGAGAGAAAACTGAAACTCCGCACTTTCTCACAGCAGATGCTTCTGGATCAAATGGCTTCTAATTACTACTTGATCACTGAAGGGAAGTGAGGAGCAAAATCACAATCTGGCTGTCACCAACGGGCCCTCCACCACAGTCACTGATAAAAGGAAAGTCCATTAGCAAGTGAGATGAGGAGAAAACACAAAAGGACGTACATGCTCTGGGTTTTCTTAATAACAGCAAAATGTCATGGAAGACAAAGTGTTTATCTCCTCCTTGGGCTGCTGCCCAAACATCAGTTGATATGAAGAGAAAACAAAAACCTATCTATGTACCTCTGTGTGTGTGTGTGTGTGTGTACGTGCGTGCATGTTACGCAGGGTCCCACTTAAACAGATTACTACGCTACGGTCAAGAGTAAGTGATTTCATTCCTATTTTCCATTTAAAAAACCAACATTAGCATTTTTTTTTTCCAGTTTGGAGCTAATGACTCATGGGACAATACTTCATTCACTCGCAGCCACAGAAAGTCAGGACACCCCAAGCCAATTTTCCAGGAGAAAGAGCCAAGGCCCAGGGTCTCCACAGTTCCTGCAATGAAGCTGCTGGGGGAGCTGCCTTCCA